GTCCCAATATGTAACACAAGCGTGTTATGAAATAAGCACATGTTGCATCACTGACATCCCGCATTCCACTTGGCGGAGCAAACATTAGCATAGTTTCATTATCTGGGAATTGATTCACTATCTGGTATTTACCGGAGAAGGGAGAATGGAATCGCTCTCCATAATTAAATGCGACTATATGATTCCTCTTGAAAAAGTATCTTCATAATTCGCATGCAAGTGGCTTGCAGGTAGCGATAACATTGATTCGCATTAATCACTGATCCTCCAAACGTATCGGAAAATTATCTTATGCAACGTACAGGGATCGCAAAAGGATCTTCGAATCATTGACTGCAAAATGTAAATTCCAGAATATTAAAAGACTGATGTCTTGCAAAGATAATGTTGAAGTGCCTCAAGCTAGTATTCTCGATGATCACGGGCAATAAATCACAACAATTGACGATACAGATTGCGAACTTTGGACGTAAACAGCTTTGCTTCCACTTCAAAAAAACCCATCTTCATACTTAAAATTGTCATCCCGAAATAGTTTCTAGACTTGAGTCACATCGTAATAGGTTAATACAGTAAAATATATAATACAAAGACCTTGCTATAGCGTACAATCGGATTCAACGAACGGAATAAACTGTCCCGCGAAATAAAATACGTTAATGAAAAAAAATAATTGTGAAGAACAAATTTCACTTGAAGAAAAAATTCGCTATCTTCAATATTGTATTGTAGAAAGACGCAGAAAAATTTCAAACTTTCGCAATTTTCGAAAATTTTGAGTTAAGTGAATATCGGACCTAAGCCTTCATTATGCGTATATTTCACTCTATCCTTACAAGAAATTTATAGAAAATTTTGGAGTCATTTTTCAGAAAATTTTGAAAATGTAGATACTCCATAAAGGACTTCCAAAATTTAAAGAATGTTTTGAAAATGTCAAAGACTAAACTACCATCAAGCGTAGACAAGCAGGCCACTCGCCCACATCTACTTCGCTTCAATCTTCCCCACACAGCCTCGTGCACAAGCGCTATCGAAATCAACGGGATTTTTAAAAATTTCCTTTTCTCTGCATTTTTCTATTTTGAAACGCCAAAAAGTAAACTTCAATTCAACATTTTCCCAATGAATGATTCTCTATCCACACTTTCATAAACTCTAAATTTCCAGACATTTCCCCCCAATTCCTCGACTGTTGGCCATCCTGTGAATCGGCTCATCGATTGCTGTTAACGGAGGTCTTATTACGACACATACACACTTGCGTCACGTGCCTTTGCAGTACTGACATCTCCTCTAATATACTCCCTTTGTTATCAGTGATGAGTTGTTATAATTGTTTAGAAATGATCAACATTTGGCGAAAAGGTCGTCAGCTTCACATCAATGAAGCACGACCCGAAACCATATTAGATGATTAATGTCGACGCAAGACGTAGTTAGAGCAATTAACATTATCGGCCCAATGTCAAGATACACATATCTCGCATATAAAGTGCCCGCAGAAGGCCGCGGGCGTGACTTATCGGCGCGTTGTCCATCGCCAGTCACGCTCTCTCCAGCCGCCTCCCCCCACCCCACCAGACGCGCGTTCATCAAAGAAGACGCAGAGACTGCTCTCGGCGAAATTCACGTCAGCCGTAAACGACGCGCTGCACTTTCACAGTTCTTCGACACGACGCAATGCACGGCCGCTGCAAACAAAATCCAACGGTTTCATCACCTGGAAAACAAAATATCCCTACTTAATATGCCATTTTTCACGAAAACGTACGGCAGATTACAGGGCCAATGTAAGGCTTCCCGCCTGGCACTGCTGCAAGCAACAACTTCTTGTAGGCAGGTTAAATCGTAAGTTGACGGTTTTATTGACATGGTGAACTTCTACGGTCATAGGTCCAGTTTGTGTAGTGAATGTTTCATCCCACGTCGAGGTGGTGTTCTTCCCCGCTGGAGGGTGCGATCCGGCGCCGACCTACGTGCAGTCCTGCGGGGATTTCCCCCTCTAGATATCTCCCCCAGCCTGGAAAAAGCCTTAAGCTTCCGATTGGTCTGACATGTATGGAAGAGTATGCATGTGTGTGTAAGTAAGGGGTGAAGATAGGACAAAGAAGAGGAAAGCAAAATCGCGTGACCTGTTTGTTAGGATATTATTCCGGCATTCGTCTGGCACTTATCAAAGAAGTAAGTTTTCGAAGCACAAAGAGAAGCGCATGAGGCAATTTGCAGTTTGCTGTCGCCTATGTTCAACACGAAACATTCCGGCATGCGTAGCTTTCCTAGGAAGGCGGAGGCACAAAATATTCAGATAGCGGCACATTAGGTATTTTTCGTAATAAATGTCAACTAACATTAACCCTTTTACTCCCTGCGAAAGAACGAAACATCTCTTCACCGCTGATGAACCTTTCTCGTTTGGCGAATGGGAGTTTTACCGCCCCCGATGCCGCTCAGCGCATAACGCCGGTCCCTAAAACTTCAAAAAACGTTCGACAAGAGGGAGCGTGAAGACTGAATAGAAAACTTCTCCACCGCTTCCGAACTTTTCTCCCGAATTTTCATCATACCAATCTATTTTACGTAAGTTATCGATATCAATTTCCCGATACAAATTGTAAACATTCGTCGACACAAGTTCTTATCAGTGTTTTGCAACACGAGAAAAGCGAATGAATTGCGGAAGGACTCAGCTTCGCCACACAAGGCCGCCTGGCGACGCAGATAGTGTTTACGATCCCAATGCTTACTACATAAATCTAAGCGTTTTGTCGTTGGGGTGTCAAGATGCTTTCTCGAGAAACAACTCAGGAAGATGTAGTCTTCCGTGACCATCACGCAAATGATCACGGCTGTCCGGGTGACGCCGCGTTGAAGGCTGTGATGCCGGCGTTTCGACCACTTGCTATGGTCTTCCTTAGACCAGCCAGCCCCGAGCAGCACAGCCCAGAGCCAGCCCTCCCAGACCAGCCGAGGAAGACCACGAAATGTCGGCATCACAGCCTGCGACGCGGCGCCACCCCAACAACCAAAGGCACTAGCACCACTGTGGATCGTTCATTGCGTTCTTCAATTAACCTTCTCTTGCTGAACAGCTTTTACATTCTACGTTCATACATTGCTGGAAACAGTTATGTAATACAATATTGGACTTTCTGCCCAACTTAACCCTTCAGCTGTCATTTTGAAGGTCCACACCGATTCAAACGAAGCGCCTGCGTTGCGCCTGCAATTATTTCTGCTGCCATTGGCAGTAGCCATTTCTTACTCCTAGGAATAAAACAAACGTAAATAAACACAACTGTTACAGTATTCACAGCATATTATACTGACAAGCATCGATAACAGACGCTTGCCGTTATTACGTCGAAGTGATTCTAATATATGAATGATTATAATGATCATCGCTAGACCAAATCTAAAAAGTAGTCTGAACATCCAGAGCTCAAACACGACGTCGATGAAGAATTCTGCAGGTAAAACGACATCTGCTATCTTTGACTCCCAGAGTTTACGACGAGTTACGATTCGCATTGAACTTACGCGTGTTTGTCTTGGCGACACGCCAAGCCATCTCACATCCGTTTTCTCAACGAAAATATGAGGCAATTAATACCAAATTGTGACAATTACTTGGCAATCAATTATGACAGTTTCGTTGAGATACGATTCGAATTGAACTTGTGTGTTTTGCACCAAGCCCTCTCATACTCTTTCTCAAAGAAAATACGTGGCAAGTAATACGAAATCGCGGCAATTAATTGCCAATAAGTTATTTGACAGATTTTATACGGATGTGCTGACATGGCTTTTCCAGCTGGTCACACATATTGACAGGTTAGTACTAGCCACAACTGCTTGACTTCGCCTCTTCGAGAAGGAATAGATGTAGACAATATACTCAGAACAGTTTTCAGGTTAATGTTCCGTTCATTATAGCTACATTTACTATACATTTTAAACGACCTGAAATGTATGGAAATGTAAATATTAAATTAATCAATGTCATAAAGATTTATTTTCTAAACTATAATAAGATTATGATAAATTATTTCCGAATCCATATTGCTCTTTAAGAAATTGATTTATACACTGTACTTCGTTTTTTCTTCACTAGCTGAATTTGCAGTAAGTTACAAATTATTTATTTATTTAACAAACTATTAACAGGTTTTACACTATTCTTGCTATTTCTACAGGCCTATTGGAAACTACACTTCTCACATAAACTCTACTCTTTGTACAAACATTTCAACATCGTGGCATCTTTAATTCTGCTTTCCCCATCTGAAACCGTGACTCAACAGACGAAGTCACAAACACCGAACATTAAAAGACCTTTGTTTTGCTTTTGGTCATATATAGCATCACTTCGCTCACGTTTTATTCCGCTTTCCTTTTCTTGTTCTGTTAAGAGTAGAGCCAGGGTGTGGTTGGTTCTTTTATTAGCAATACTAATAAAATCTAATGTGTGTTCTTTCCTTTATTCATCATTCAACTGGGGGGAAGAGTTTCTAGCGTTTAAAAAATCACATGCTCATTGTTTCTAGAGTTTCAGAAAACAGTACCCTCCTCCGTACACCACATTTAAAAGGTTACCATATTTCCTGGAACAAATTGGCCTTTCCTTTTCCCAGTTTTCCAGTGCATATTTCCTACATTTTTCGCACATCTTAAGAAAATGTTAAAGGCACCGTGAGGCTATTTTTCGCTTTTTCGCCGTGACAAAGTACAAATTAAACATTTTTTTCGCCAAACTGAGAAAGAAATGTTTGTTGCTGTAACGATGTACTAATCTTTTTAAGGAATAAAATCTAGCTTTACAACCCTCTCAAAATGTTCCCTCGCTTTAACGATTCTTGGTCAAATTCCCTCACTTTTTTTACTTTTCCGGGGCAATGAATTGCCTGCTTTTCCCAGTTTTCTAAAAGGTGACCATCCTATACGAATCATTTCACCAAGGGCGTAGCGTGGGACGGGCCGAGACAGGGCAATAGACTGACCGCAACTCGTGCGAGTAGAGCGCGTGCGGGATGGCAGTGAGCACGCCCGCGCCGTCGCCTGTGTCATTGTCGCAGGCGCAGGCGCCGCGGTGGTTCATGCGCAGCGACAGCTTCTGCGCGTCGCGCACGATCTGCAACACACAAACAAACACATTTACATTCTCCCCACCCCGAAACACACGTTTAATAGGCAGCCGCTGGAGAAAGCGATTGCTTTTAGGGCATGCAAAACGTGCTAAAAGTCCAATTTTAGCACTAGTGCTCAAGGTGAGACGGTGCGCAAGCGCTCAGATAAACTGGATACAAAAAGACCAAACACTTTCGTCTGACCGCATCAGCGACTACTGACCTTAATGTATCATAAGTGATTTGTATACTGGAATTACAATAAAAGTCAGTAAGGTTGTTTTAATAATAGTTTATAATATATGTAGTTAGTGATTTTACTTTGCTCTTAGAATTGCGCCACTCGATCTATCGGCCTTGGATCACCTTTCCTACTCGCAAAATAAAATAACACTGAACTGTAAAGAAAGTATTTCATAATTACCACAGAACTGAACAACTAATTATTGAAACAGTTGTAATGAACGTTTATTACACAGGTAACTACACTGTATAGCACATGTTTATGTACACCGTAATTTTCATTTAGACGATGTTGCAAAATTTGTATTATTTTGCTGTAAAGAACTGAATCAGCTTGATGATGCGTTGAGATAATGTGGTCGAAACCATACGTTGCCATTTTTTCTCTCATTACACGCTACGTTGCATTATCTGGTAATCCTATAGATGTAATTGTACATGTACGATACATTTTTTGGATTATACGAACATATCCGAATCCGTACAGACCACACCCACAATTAGTTCGGATTACCGGGATTCTACTGTATTAAAATACATGTAAGAAATCCTCGAGAACCCCAAAAAACACAGTTAATTGTTTTAATAATTTTTAAATTATTTATAACAAAATACTTATTTTTTGTATCGAAATATTCATTAATAACTAAAACAATCACAAGTATAAAAGTCAACTTATTAGCAAAATAAAGTAAATTTACAATAAAATACAAACTTCATTCGCATAGCTCCAATATCACAACAAACATTCACAAACAAATAAAAGTACAAAATAAATTACGGTAAAATGCAAACTTGTTTTGCAACATTGTTATATGTTACGCATTTACTAATTTATTGTCAGAACATGTTGATGAAATTTTAAGTAACTAATAATGAATATAGTATGTATCATATAGTGTATAAAATACCAAATAATATTGTATTGGCGTACATGTTAACGTATTATATATACAATTCAGTAATGTGCTTGGATTTGGTATTTTGCCCCGATATGTTAATGAAATAATAATAATAATAATAATAATAATAATAATAATAATAATAATAATAATAATAATTTGACTATGGAATCTTAGAAGTGAAAGTTTAGTAATTTTTGGATGCTCCATACCTCGCAGTACTGAAGGAATTCGTTTGGACGTTTGAATGATGAAAATCAAAACACAATATGAACTACATTTAAAAAACAATATTTTGCAATACACTAACAATCAAATAAACACAAAAATAATCACAAACAATTTTTTAAACCGTAATTTCAAAGGGATTCATTTCAAACTGCGTTCATAAAGAAGCACGAGGCAATGCGTGGTCTGCCCAACATTCCCAGTCTTAAGTCTTGTGAAACACAGCATTTTAATACTGTAACGATTTGAAGGAAATGAAAATTTAGATACCGTTATTTTAAATGCTTCACAAATGTCAGTAATTGAATACTCATAGGAGGATATGTACAGGAAAATCTAGTTTGCAGTTTATCTAAGCCCTATTTTCCCTCGTCTGTACATCGTACAAAGTAGTTTTTGATTTATCCCATTATCTCATGTAAAACTGAAGATTTTTTGGGTTTTGGCACTTTTCATTTAAAGCGTAGCATTTATTACTCCGCCTTGTACCTATGTACGCCTTATGGATTACGTGATGGGTGTGGTGTCCGACACAACACCGTACCTAGTGTTCAATCACAGACACTTCGGGAGACAAATTTTACATTTTTGCACAATTTATGATACACATTCGCGCGTACTACTTGCGATGTGCACCAAATTTACCAATCTTCGAAATGGCAAAAACAGGTCTTACTCCTCATGTATGCCTCAAGTTAAGAGTTCAAAAGCTCATCAATTCGAGGTAAAGGTAACACGTAAAAACACTTTCTTTATCGCAGTGATCTTCAAAGCAAATTTTTCTAAGAAAACTCTTGCTGTAAAGTTGCGCAGACTCCAATGCTGCCAATAATCTAAGAAATGTATTAAAAAAAATAAAAATAAACACACACACCGATGCAAAATCTGCGAATTGTTTTACTTTCTCGCTTCATTACGTAGCTGTAGTAAAGAGTAAAATATTTTAATGCTGTAGTAAAGAGTAAAATATTTTAATGCTGTAGTAAAGAAAAAATATTTTAATGCTGTAGTAAAGAAATCAATTTTTTCAACTGAAAAACTAATGTGGAGCCCTCGTATCGAACCCCTGGATATATCCTCTTGCTATTCATAGTAAATTACCACGTTGGGTAGCCCAAATCCACGTTTCGTGGGCCCTTGATACGAAAAAGTCTATTGATGGCAAAATGTACGACCGCTCACAAAGTTGGCGCCTCCATTCAGACTATTTGGTCCAAAACTGATCTTCTCCATCCACCTGGACGAACTATTGGCCTGCGTGTTCGAAACTTATTTGTAATTTGAGGGGGAACTTTACATAAAGCCTCAACATTTTCAAACTTTTCTCAAAAACGTCTCCATTGTTTTACTTAAAAATTGCCTCGCGTAGCGTAAAAGACAGTTAAAAATAGATACAGATACCATCTTTGAAAATTCAAAATTTTGGAAAATTGCAAAAGTCCAAATAAGTCCGGCACCTTTCTTCAACTACAAAATTGAAGCGAAACTTTTTCCTTTATTAATCTCTATCAATTCCACCATCGCGCCAGGACCTCCCTGTCAGAGTGGTTGCAAAGACGAGGGTAATGGTAACCGAGGCAACAGAGCCGGTATTAAAGAGTTGGAAACTTGCACAATTGATTGATTAGCGATTCCGGGTGCGTCAAATGCCATGATCATTCATCTCGTAAGTGTAGTGCATGTTTTATCACGGAAGGTGGCGGTGATCTTCCCCCGTTGGATGGCCGAACTACTGGTCCGGCATTCCCCTGCTTTGGTCGGAGAAACGACGGAAAACTGTAGTACGGATCAGAGCAGCCGGCCGCTAGAATTCTCCTCCAGACACATTCGACCTAGTCGAAACTCGTGCCACCGCCCGCTCGGACCTCTTGGCGAGAGGGGCTGCAGAGACACGGGTAACCGAGCCGGTGTTAAGAGTCGGAAATTCGCACGAGGCGGCGCCACGTGCGCACGGGGAAGCCCTCGCTGCCGAAATAGCTCACGAGGCGCCGCGCCGCGTCGCGTCGCGTCGCCCACTGACCCCGTTGGCGCGGAATGCCAGGCCAGCTCCTCTCGGCTTCTCTTAGCTCCGCTCCGCTCAGCTCCTCCCAGAGCTTCCTTCGCGGCACTCGCCAACACACATTCAGCCCAGGCATCGCACGCGATTTCAGGTGTCAATCGGGAGGGGCTACCGTTCGAGTCCTCACGGTCCTGGAAATTTCGACACTATCCAGACGCATAAGTTGAATTCAGCCGCCGTCCGAAGGAGAATTCTAGCACCCAGTTGCTCTGATCGGTAGTATTCTTCCATTAATACCACGCGAAGCCCGGAGCAGTATCCTAACAAAAGGACCACGGATTGCGCGCGATCGTTCTTCCCGCTTCCTCCCCTCCGACACACGCACACACACGCACGCGCACGCACACGCACACACAGTACGAAAACTAAATCTGTTATTGCCAATATATCAAAATAAATTCGACAATTCAAAACTGTTTTCCACACAGCAAAAAACCTTCAACAGAAAAGTCACTTTGAGAATTTCAAATTTCAACCTGTCGTGTCGCAGCGACCTTTGTACTGTCGTATTCTAAAGCGCTCATCTTGAGATTAGGCCAGTGAAAAATCTCAAAATTATGTGCTTGCCAATGTTTCGGCATATATGTCACCTTCGTCAGGACAACAAAAGCATACAGTTATTAACCGTCTTTCATAGTACATACAATAACCCTTGATATCTTTTTGATCGTGTATAGAACGCTCACCTGCAGATATCACATGCTCTCCACCACTGTCACACCCAAAATATCATCAAACCAACAGATACCCAACCATACCCATACCCAAGAGATATAAAATGAAAAATAAAAGCTACAAAAATAGCAAAGAAAAAACATCCAAGGCCATATTGATTTATGAGGAAGCCGACTAGTGAAATACGAGAATTTATAATTTACCTTCTACATTACTTAATAAAACTGGTATGTTTGCAGCTTACGATTTCTACATCACTTTTATGAGTACATGAAGTGGTGGATGTGGCCTCTACCGAGATAACTGCGGCCCACCGTGTCTCGTCTCCTCTTTCCTGTTGAAAAATCTACGTCTTTTTTCCCTGCAGCATTGCAAGAGTTTCGCTATACTAAGAATAAATTCGTTGCGTCTTTTACGCAACACTTCTATTTAGAACTTTTCGGGAATGTGCGTATATAGTTGCCTTTGAGTAATACTCCTTAAAGTTATTTTGTCTCGTAACGCCGCAGTGAGTCGACGCCTTTTTATCCCTTCGGCCTGGGTCTCGGTTCGGTTGTAAACAGGGTTCTCAGATCGTCACCCATCCGGGAATCCGTAGTACTTCCATTTGCTTCACTTCCGTACATGTGAATAATAATATAAAAATAGAAATTTATCGAAGAAAGCCCTTAACGAATAAAACGGAAATGACATTCTCACATGATTTTTCAGACTGATTTAAAAATGTCCGCTTGCTGAGAAGAATCAATTTCGTCAAATTGTCGCTTCATTGCGTTGCACGAACTGCGCAACTGAACGCTGACACGATAATGTGATGCTTCAAACCAGCTCAAACTAGGAAAAATAATATTGCTTCTTTCAGCCCCTCCCAGCGCGAATTTACGCCGATTGCTATTGAATCTAAAGTTAGACGACGTCGACTGGTCTCCGATAGGAATAGCATTGAACTGAAAGCCAGACAAGAGTTAACTATCGTCAATTATTTCGCAAGGGCGGTTGAAGCAGATGCCCGTTTACTGGACAGAGAAATGTAACTTTCAGAAAACAGATGTTATACAATGTTTTCTACTACAGTAAGCAAACTATGTGTGGTGTCAATTTCACTATGTGTGATGTCATGGCTTGAATATGTGAGAATAAACTAGTCTTGTGATAATATTGTAAATAAGACAGTTTTCAACCCAAAGGAGGAACACAGTACATCTCTTCTAATTCCTCGAATCGTGTGTTTTAAATAAAGTAAAAACATTTCCTAGTTCAATGAAAACTAACGGTTCTGCCAATGCACGTACTTTCTCGCATTGTTTCTAAAAGCTCCGCAACATTACACTATTATATAACCAGCAAAAGTGTTGTCAAGCACCTAATTATTCGTCCGCTACGAGACTCGAACTCAGATCCTCAGAGTTAACGTGTCGGCAGGCATACCACTACGTCACAGAGGCGCTGGATGGTCCGAACACTGGCAAAGGCATAAAAATGTAAATCCCGCTTAATGTAAAAATCCTTTAACTATCAAAATATCCATTAGAAACTACCAAAGCCTCCGTTACGATCAATCAGGGTATATCAATTTTGAAGAAAATGAGCCGAACGGTTTAGGCACAACCGTTAACAACGGAGAAACGGGGCAGAAACGGGGCAGAAACGGGGCAGAAACGGGGCAGAAACGGGGCAGAAACGGGGCAGGAAAACGGGGCAGAACGGGGCGAAAGCGGGGCCAGAACCGGGGCAGAAACGGGGCAGAAACGGGGCGAAACGGGGCAAAAGCAAAACGGCGCCAAAGTGGCAAAGCGGAAACGACCGCGGGCAAAACGCAACGGGGCAGAAGCAGACGGGCGAACAGAACACGGGAATTTTTTTAATTTCGCAGAACTTCTAGTATTAAAATCCCCATGTGGGACTCGAACCGGCGACCTCGTGGTTGCCAAGTGCACGAACCCGAATATGCACTAAAAACACTCGGCATCCAGCAGAAGAACAATAACTGCCACACTGCCACATTACTCGGACAACCGTTTCAGATCAAGCATTACCAGAACCGAGAAAATAGGCGAGTTTTAGCGGCAGACGTAAGGAGTATATCTTTAAAACTGCTATTAATCAGTGACTAACGCTTTATACGGTTCGTAATGAACAACGTTCAGCCAGCAGTGTTAGCAAATTGCGGGCATTGCGTTTGTGCATTATAACACAGGAGCATTTCAAGAGTTGAACCGAGAAATTGCCTAGCTAACATTCAAAGAGTGTAAACTAGTGGGAGACATTTAAAACACGTACGAGGCAACAGAACACATTGTGCATGGAGTTTTAGATTTTGGTGGCCCTCCGTGTGAGTAGCCAAGTCTGGAGAATTATGAATCTATTTCCTTGAAAATATAGAAATACCTTAAAACAGCGTTCGTTATGAGCGTAAGACATAACCTATCGCGAAGATATTTGAAACTAATATTCTAGAATTTCTGTCACCTCTCCAACATATCCGTTAATTCTTGCCACCATTGTGGAGTTTGGTAAGAATAATTGTAACTGCCTCACAATACGAGAAATCGGTTTACCAGAGTTGGAATAATTCAAACTTTTCCTGTTTTTAGGCGGCCATTTTGCCGCTTGTAAAGTGACCGTAGAGACTCCATAGGCGGTGCACTAATTATGAACGTATAGGGTCGTACCTTACGCCCAGGCAAGACGTTATGACTTCAAGGTCCGTCACGTGACTGATAGTGCATAACGCCACTACCTTACGCGTGGCGCATAAAACTCCTACGGAAAAGACAAGGAGGTTAAACGTTGCAAATTCGAAAATCACGTACACACTTCAAATTTATGTTAATGATTGTTTTGTTAGTAGAAGTGCTTCAAATAATTTTCAATTAAGTTTCTGCAATTTTCAATAGTTTTTGTTCGACACACACAGAATTGTGACAAATAACTACCCCGAGCGTAGGCTTGAACAAGCCGACCTTGCTCCAAAGCACCGAGACAAACACGTTTAACCAACCTCGGTCACCGGGGTCGTACAGGTTTAGGCATTCCTATATAGTCCTAAGAGCTTGTGTTTCAGTTA